GGTAGAGATGTCACATAGTTATAGCAAGAGATGGAAGCAAAGCTGAACACATTCTTGCAGCTAAAATAATGTTATTAATGCCTAGTAGATGAGTGATACCATTTAAAGGACAATAAAAATTGTTCCATGCTGAGCAGAAGTTGCAAATCTCAGTCCTAATTCCCTGCTAATTGCAGGCATCTCAGGTTGTTCTAGTGACAGCCACAGGAAGGCTGATATTTTTAGAGGCTAATTTAATAGTGAAACCTCATTTGAATTAATGTCTTCAGTGTGCATTACGTTATACACACAATGTATGAATTGTAGGATTTTTAAGCTTTCAGTGTCTTGTGCAAATGCAGAGACATTACAAGCTCAGCGAAATTTCTTGTAGAATCTGTTGCAGTCATTTGCAATCCAGAAAATTAATATCCTAGCTTTTTTAAAGAAACAACTTCAGACAGACAACTTATGTGCCTGAATATGGATGTAGAATGATGGTAAAGTTAATAGCATTACTTTCTTACACCACCTGAAGATCTGCCAGAGTGTTTGAAATACTGGTCCGTGGCATCTGCTCTCAGACTGGGAGGGTGAGGCTTTGTGCGATCTCTGGCAATGATTTCCACAAGCAAACTTTTTTTTTCCTATTTTGAAGTTTCCTGCCAATAAATAATGGTTTTGGAGAATGAACATCACAAGGATATGAAAAAAAGGCAAGAGGCTCCTTTTAAAAAATAGTATGGATGTTCTAAGTGAAAAGCATTTTTGTAGTGCTTTTTCCCTATCTGTGAGGGCCTATAAGGAAGGGGACCATAATCCAAATATCAGCACACAATGGAGTTTTATGCTGGATTTATTCCCATATAGAGTATGTTTTAATGTTGAGCATTTAAAAGTCTTATGATATAGGCACAAATGAAGATGCATAGAACCACATTTTTAAATCTTTGACCTTCACAGAATAAACTTCTAGGGTGATTAATATGGATCTTTTTGCAAGACTGAACAGATACTCTCTAGAATCCTTGTATCATTACCAGCATGTAATGAGACTTAGGTCCATTGACTTTATTTGGTATGTTTATCCTACCATAGATTGTTTTTTTTCCTCTCCAGTCAAATAAAGTTTCTTTGCAACACCAAATAAAAAGCCTTGAAATGGCACCCAAAGGCTTAGCTTTTCTTTAACCTTTTCTATGTTTGCAATCTTGGATTTTCAAAACAGTCCAAAACCAAAAAGGTCTGCGCCTTAATCCTATTGAATTTCTCTTGGGATCATTTGGAAACACAAATGAAATTACCAGCATGTGTTTGGCTGAGGAATTCTGTATTTGAGGGAAGAGGTATTCATAGTGTTGTTTTCATGCCCTTTATATTTAAAATGTCTTCTTTTGAACACTGTAAAGTTCACTTGTCATTTTGGCATAAAGAGAGGTACAGGGTTAAAAACAAAATAATTTGCTTTTGAGCCAAGCGATGCCATTCACCTTGCAGTCTGGAAGTCTTTGTCAAAGCATTTATAGTGATTTTCATTTTAACTACCTCCAGCTTTGTAGATATCCACACAAAGTTTGGCACGTATTTGAGCTGAGTGATTCCTTTCCCCTCCTCATGCTCTATTTGTACCTATCTTGTTTTGCTAATTTGCATGTCTACTGCAGATGTCATCTCTACATCGTTTTCTACCTCCTTTTCCCCTGCAGCGAGATGACATGACCACGCAGTTTAGCCAGATGAGCTTAAGCCGTCAATCATCAGGAGACAACCCCGAATCGCCTTCCGGTCCTGTCTACCCATCGCCTCTCCTGCAGCAGCCTGCCCAGCAGACGGGTTACATCATGGCTTCCCCAGGTCAGCAGCTTCCCCCCGGAGGCTTCACAGGGTCGGGTCCACCAGTGTCCCAGCAAGTGCTGCAGCCGCCACCACCCCCTCCCCAGGGCTTCGTGCAACAACCACCGCCACCTGCTCAGGTAGGCAGAACTGTGGCTTCCGGTTTGGCATGGTGCTCATGACAACATCAGAAGGAGAATATGAAAAAATTACCCAGATTGCAGATTATTTTTCTTTTTCCCCTGGTAAAATCTTGGCAGATTCTTAGGCAGCAGGAAACTTGCAAAGCCTCCATGGTTTCCGCAATTCCTTCCCTATCCTCAAACCATTTTCTGAACATATGTTCATACTCCAGGACACATCTGCACATGAATATGAAGGAAGGTGAGTAAATATCCATAGTCCTTTTCCCCTGTATATATACCAAAAGAGCAACATGCACATCAGCCCAGGTAGTCATTAATCATATTTAATTGACTTGAACATGTGAGATGTCACAGATCAGTAATTTTAACTGTCTTCCTGAAGACTGATTATGTTTTACTGTTCACTACCAAACATCCCTACTTGTCTCCTGGGTACCTTTACGGAATATTGAAAGTGATTACTGTCAAGAAGTAAAATGCACAGATGACTTTCTGGCCCCTTTTCAAGGCGTACACTTTAAAAAGCCAAATTTCTTTATCCAATTATAGATAACTTCATTTAAACTCTACTTTAAAATTGTATTAATAGTATTGCTTCTGCTTTCATTTTATTCTTTGAAAGAAAATATTTTTTTAAAAATTAAGTAAAAAAACCCTTCACCATTCCTTCTAATGTAAAAGTAGTGTAAACCTTACTGGTTTTATTGTTTGATGCTTCTTATTGAAAATCTCCAGTTGTGTGTGTTAATGGGATTCTGTATTGCCACAGTAATGAAGAATTTATACTGTTCTAATGTTTTAAGTGGGATAGAGATCTAGTTAATTAGATCACTAATGAACAATAAAAGAAATCTGAAGACTACTGAATGCTCGCATCCCAGAGAGGACTGTAACACCCGTAATTTCTCTAGTTAGAAACTATGCGGCCATTTTTCCTGAGAAGGATTGCAAAAAATAATTTTTAAGGAGCTGAAGTTCAATATAATGTTTTTTTCTTAATTTGAAAATATTGCTAAAAAAAGATTTCACTATCTGCCAAATGTAGCATTTAAAAATAAATTTGGGAGGAAAATATTACCTGAAGAGCAGAATCTCCTGAAGAGTCCATCTCCCCACCCAGACTGCATCTCCTAAATGAGAAAGTAGAGGCTGCCCAGGCTTCTCTCCTCATGTACATCCCCCCAGTGCCCTCAGTGTTTTCAAGCATCATTTAATCAAACCTTGTGACACTTTTAGTGAACCAGATAAATGCGAGCACCTCCATTTTACAAGCTGTCAACACGGCAGGCAAAGCAATGTGTTTCCCAGCCTTGCTGGCCAGGCTGTGCTGCAGGAGCCAAGGGGGCTGCAGCATCGTGCTGTCTGCTGTGGTAGGGGACCCTGCACTGCCTCCTCTCCTCCCTTGGGTGAGACCAGGTTTGCAGCCCACCCTGAGGTGTCTGCTAGACCTCCCTCAGTTGACTTTGCAAAGGCTGCTACTGGAGTTTGCTCTCAGCTCCTGCCTGCATGAGGCTGAGCCTTCATCACCTGAGGTGGGCACATTGGATTTTACCTTTGCATGTACAGCAGGGTGCAAGGTTTTAACTCAGTTTGACATAGTGATACTTTGTGAAGCTAATTTCCCCTCATTAATACTTGCTCTGATGCTCCTGGAGAGGCAGATGAACAGATGAGGAGGTGCTTCCCATATATAGGCTGCTGTAGGACCAGTACCATACTGGTTTGTCTAATGGCCACTGTGTCTCTGCCTGTACCCTAAATACGGTGCATATGGGCAGTTTGTTCCTATGTTGTAATGAAGTGGAAAGTTACTGAGGGCAGAAAAATATCTTTTGGGTTTGCAGCAGCTTCAGTTATCTCACTGGGGAATGGTTTGTCCTTGGAGGATGTAGAAAGGTGAGAAATTCAGCACTGTCAGCTTCCTCTGCATCTACTGCACTGCACGAACTGTTCATCTCCAGCTTGTCACTATTCCAAAAAATCCTTGTCAGATACCTGTGTGGAAGAGGGCACGGGGGGTCAGTCCCTGCTGACCGTGTCCCTGTGCTGTGGAAATGCAGTGGCCTTGGTCTGCTGAGACGGAGGGGGCAGCAGCAATCTTAATCCACATGTGCAGGTGGGACCTTCTGATTGACATTTCAAGTTTTAATTCATTCTTTTCAGCCCTAGAATGTGGCACGATATTATGCTTTTGGGCTTAGATGCAATAGTAAGGCTGCTCTTGGATGCCAAAGCAGGTGGTCTGAGGCAGGCTTAAAAAAAAAAAAAAAAAAAAAAAAAAGCAATAAAGATGGTAATGCATGCAAAACATTATGTGATGCATTAATTAATGCAATGCAATCAATGTAAAAGCACTTTTATATGTTAAATGTTGCTATTGAATTTATACCAGTTGAAAAGAGGCTTGACTCTGTTGGCTAATTGGTTCCTCTAAATGCATTGCTGATGAAGTTATAGAAGGTTGGCTGTGGTGCCCTGTATAAAAATAAAATAGCAGTGAAAACCTGGATGGAGGTCCTGTGAGCATGATCATTTCCTTTGGGAGCTGAAAGGAGGAGAAAGAAACTCTCTCAAAGCCTACAAACCCAGTAGTACTGAATTTAAATTATTAGGATTTGTATTAACGTTCAATTAAACGTGGCTCTATAGCTGCTCTCGAAGATTCTCTCTCCCAGTCTGTATCAATGCAGAAGCAGACTGCATTTGATATGACGTAATGACATGCCTGAGAAGTGGTGAGAGGACCCCTTACATTGCTCTGGCTGGTTCTTTCACCCCAGCTTGACAACAGTCATGATTTATTAACCTGAAAATAATGGTCTGTCTTTTCTTGGCCAATTGGGGAAAAAAAAAAAAAAGAAAATAAAACAGAGACAGAAACCCCCAGTGATTAGTCTTGGTTTGCTGAAAGGGACTTTTAGCAGCAAATGCCTGTTTGCTTTCTATATCACAAATAGCAAACATATCTTTACTTTCTCTATTTTCTTCCATTTTCAATCTTCTCTTTCTGATGGTTCTTCTATAGCACTTACAGGCCCAGGCACTTCAACAAGGGTCCACATTCAGTTTTTGCAACACTCTCTGTGGTGCTTGTCATTGCTCTACCTCTGCAGATGAAGAAATGGGAAAACCGCAAGTACTATGCCAATGGGAAAGGATGTGCTCCCTTAAAAGTTATTCTCACCTCTGACTCATTCTTTCTGGAAGGTATACTGGCAAAATGATGTCCAAAAATGAGGTGACATCAATTCTTGGAGAAGCTTGGAGAAGTAATACACATGTTGAAGGGTTTTTCACCTGAATTAATTTTGTGTCATCATTAATTTTAGCTCTCTCTTTGCAGAAGCCACCTCCTTAGAGAGTCCATAGTTACCCTAAGATAAAAATCCTTATTCATAGCCTGTCTCCTGTAGGAAACTTGCTATGAAGAAGGTTGGGAAGTCACTGCAAGTGAGTGGGTCTTTCCTTGATGAACTCAGAAGATTATATTGGCGGACATCCTACAGTTGTTGTACACAAGCCACTGGTTTTGTTACTATACTTATTATGGAGGAAGAGTGGGGAAGAGAAAAATCCTTGAAGAATGACTGATCCCACTCAGTTAGATACTGGGAAGAAATGGTACCTCCATGTGTCCATATCACTGTGGTTTCTGTTATCTTCACTCCCATTTATGTACCTGTAGCTGTCGTTAGCAATAGTGTCAGCATTACTGACACTGATCATCTGGATAAAGATGTTAATCCAAACCTAGCTGGATATCAGCAGTGTTAAGAGAAAGTAGAATACCTGTCTGATGGCAGAATCAAGCTGTAAGTCAGTAGAGAGAGATTTTAGAAAAGTAACATCAGCCTGGAAGATGCGTGGTATCCTATTCCTACCATGAGAAAATAAATAACGTACCTGTGAATTTAAGGGATGCTGCTAGAGAGCAGTCCAGTGGAGACCCAGCCTGGTAAAGGGTTTCGAACTGTCTGTGGACAGAATAAAGCAGAAAGCCGATGCTGTGTTGAGTCTCTGCCCACCATCTAGAGACAAAGAGAAATAGAAGGTGTGAAAAGTAATGCCTGTTCATGCCATTTCATGAGTGTCTCTGAAGGGACATGCCCAGTCCTGTTGCAGTTTAAGTAAAATAAAGAAAGTGCTGTATTTGTGAGAAAAAATAGAATGCATTTAAATGGCCAGTCCAACAAACAAGAAAGGTATTCACCTTCAAAATAAGAATAGCCAAGGGGTAGGGATCATCTGTCAACTATTTCCATGGTAATTATTAAAGAGGAGGGATTTTTCCACAGTGTCAGGCATTAAGATCAAAAACCTCTGCTTTTAGACTAAAGAAGGCAGCATTTATTTAGGTTATGTTCTTAGAAGGGCTTTTTTTTTTTTTTTTTATTACCACATAGCTGTGTTGGCATGCTTGCTAGTCCAGTGGAAGCTTCTGGGTTCTGTAGATGAAATATGTTCTACAAGCAAAAGGTCCAAGGTCAGATTGTGCATTCACATGGGAAAACAATTCAAGTATAATCTGGCATGTCAGTAGACTGCTACAGAAATGTAATGTTTATTGTTGAAGTGCACAGAAGCAAAGGTGTTAATAATACTGATGTAATGAAAAACTAAAAAATTCAGGAGGGTCAGAGTAGATGATGCAAGTGACATTGTTATCGCTTATCCCTGTAATTCCATTGTTTACTAAAGTAGTATCAGAAAGGACATATAAAATGTTTCAACTACTGATGCAGAGATGTACTCAAGATAAATGAAAATGGATCCTTCCAAACCCCTCAACCATGGCAAAACCTATTTTACCCATGTGTGTATTTTACAGCAGTCCCTTCTTTCAGTGTCTGATATCTTAAAAAAAAATACCAACCAAAACCCCCCACCAAAACCCAAACCTCTTCTTTTCAAGTCATGTGTGCATGATTACTGGCAAATTCATCCATTAATCTTCCTAATTGAAATGATTGGGGTTTTTTTACCCAATACTCCTACTACTAACATTGTTCAGGCTGATAGATTACACTCTGGTAAGCTTCTCAATGGGGTATATAACAAATGTATTTCAATGAATTGAGAAATTAAAGAAAGTAAACCCCTGTGTGGTAAAAATACATATATGTGTTTCCAAATCACTCTGAATGCTTCGGTGTAGGTATATGTTTTTGTGCTAAGCATGTTCAACTATAAACTTCACTTCAAAACCTGTATTTTTAGGCTATGTTTTAAAGTTAATACCTGCAGAATCTTTCCACAAGAGAGAATTCACATTGTTCTTATATGCTCATGTATTTTCAAATATCTAGGGGCTTGTTTGCATGAGGAAAATGAGGAAGTTGAGGGTAAATCAAATAAACTTAAATCCTTTAAGTGAGATTAAGCTGCTGCCAGGAGAAGTGAGAGTATTTCCAGTGGGGTTTAATATTATTTAATTTGTAAAATAGAAAATAAATAATATTTGAGAGGATGTCTACTCTGTTCCCATGCTCCGAGGCAGGATCAACTATTTGCATTGGCTTAGACTTGACTCTTCTCGCTTCTTTCAAGTCTCCCATTGTAGAGCCTTGCTGAGTGTAATCAGGTTTCTGCAAGATGGGTTTATCACACTAAACTTGCCCAATCCATGATTTATGCTGCCATGATGCTTAAAGAATGAATTTGCACCTTAAATGTCTGGGTCAACTTTCCTATACCTTGTGGCTTTTCTTTGGAGAGAAACAAATTTGTCATGGTTACAAAGGCATTTTGGTTTTGTTGCTTTAGTCTCTAACAAAACAAATGGCTGGAGGGCAGACTGTAGCCATTAGGTATCATTTGGCATTGTCTGGAGGGAGGACAGCTGACACCCTTTTCCAATCAAAATGTTCTTGTTTTTCTGGTGTTTGTTTGAATCTGGCTGATATTGCTGGCACTGGGGAGAGGGGGCAAGATTTCCACTGATTGTAGAGAAGATGAATAGACCTTGAAGAATGAATAGGTATTCAGCCTCTTGATACACAGGTGATATTTACCTGTGATATTTACCTGCTTTCGCTTCACCAACACTACCAAGTTCAGCTTGATCCTGATATTTTTCCCACCGCAATTACCCATTCAGTAGTCTTCTACGTGCCCAATTAGCCATACATGCCCTCTTCTTGCCCAGTCTTTTTGTATCTGTGCCTGTCCTTTCTCATCTGACATCATCTCCGGGAAAGTTTCTGATCTCTCTGATGTCCTAGCAGTATACAAAAGGATGCAGTTACCTTTACTCTGCTAATACTTTATGGGTGGTCAAGTTGAATGAGCATTTCCAGGAACATTTCTTCCATGCAGTTAGAAGTGGCAAATATAGTTCTTCTTTTTCTATGGAAAAAAAAAACAACAAAAGCATTTGGTATGACTGTGTATATGTCTGAGTAGGGTAAATGGGAAAAAAACACACACAAAGGGAAAAAAAATGTGTGATTTATAAAGAAATGCTGACAGATGTGGCAGAAGTCACTAGAGAAGTAATATGCTCCTAAGCCTATGTCCCTCTGCAGTTTGTTGCTATCATATGCTGCCAAACTCTGTCAGGTACCTACAGCATCCACTGCAACTGAAAATGAAAAATTTTGAGCGCTTTGAACTTACTGGGGATCAGTTGAAAACTGTTTAGCTCAAACGTCTCAGTAGTGGTGGTATGGCATGTATAGGAAGAATCTTTAGCTCCAGTGACCCTCAAACATCCATGTTCACCTGTGTGATAAGGTGATGTAGGACATGTTGCTCTATAATGACAATAATAATAGAAAAAAGAAGCCCACTTAGTAGAACTTGCTGACTCAGTGCCTACCCTCAGCTCCTGCATGAAAACAACTAGGATTGTCTTTTGAACTGTAATTGCCTTCCCACCAAGTGTGAGAGAGGCTTTGCAGTGAAATGTTCATGGATGTAGCTGATAAACAAAAGTGTGAATTTAATAATCTGTTCTTGCAAGCATTAAGGGCACATACACTCCATTTTTCCCTCTATCTTGCTTCTGTATTTTTTAACTCCAGGCCATTCTTTGCATCGAATTGACTGTTTTCTCCAGAGTTCACTTAATGGTTTAACATACTGTCTGTATACATTATGTTGATATTGAAGGTGTTTGTATCCACTTTTCTGCCGCATTTGATATTTTACTGTGATTCTTTGGTATATGCATCCTGTATATTTTCCTCTCTTTCAATTTATTTCTTTTTCTTCTATTTCTTAAAATATCTGAGAAGAAATTTGGGCACTGATAGTCCTTTTCCTATCAAAGCTGAAAGTAAGCAGCAGTTCTTGAAAAGACACAAAGCAAATGTCTCCTTGATTACTATTACCACTAATATGCTTGACTTGAACCCTTGCTTTCCTTCTAGTTTTGTTTTACTTTATGAATCTTTGAGCTTCAGAGTCTGTAGTTAGCTGCTGTTCTTTTTCTTTGCAGATGCCAGTGTATTATTACCCATCTGGTCAGTACCCTACCTCAACAACTCAGCAGTACAGACCCATTGCCTCAGTTCAGTACAATGCACAGCGGAGTCAACAGATCCCACAGACTGCACAGCAAGCAGGTATTTACTTCTCTTACTCACTTCTAACTCATTGCCTTTGCTGGTGAAACCCATTGTTTGTGTTTATTTTTAATTTGAACAGCGGAGGTGAAAGCTGTTTGCTGTTCTGTTTGAAAATAGGGTGAACATTACAAATTGAAAAACCTTTTGCTTGGAGATACTGAGCCATAGAAGAGCAGAGGTTGCATTCTCCACCATTGCTGTCCTGCACACGGTGCCTTGTCCTCAGTGTCTGTGCTCCACGTGATGGGACACAGATTGAGCCAGAAGGGAACTGGTATGAGCTGTCATATTGCATGTTCAGGCCAACCTTTGTGGTTTGTCCTTCATCCTGCAAATTTCCCAAACATTTGGAAGACTCTACATGGCTGACAGGTTTTCCTGAGCCCAAGAAGCAGCAAGGAGGTCCGTGTGGTTGGTGCCTGTCAGGACCAGCTCCCCACAGGAACGTGCGGCTGGAAGGGGGGCCGTTACACTGTAAGAGAGTGAGTAGCAGGTCTCACAGTGAACCGGTCTCTTTTCCTGCTGTGTCACACCGCTCCTGATGACACCAGAGTATGAGGGACACAGGCAGTGCTGGTCTAGTGCGTGCTGGGAGAGAGCAGGGGTTTTGCTCATGAGAGTTCTCGCATTTCAAGGCGATAAACAGTTCTTCCAGTTTTGGAGATTTTTTTTTTTAAGTTGTTGTTTGTGTGTTTCTTCAGTGCACACCTTCCCTTGCAGGGTGTCTCAGACAATAACTCCAAAGTGTGGGGAGGGTGTTGTTTCCCAATAGGGTCTGCAATTATAGACGTGCCAGGTAGGACAAAGCATTCATTTTTCTGTCTGGGTTCGACAGAATCCCTTCTGAATGGCAAAGCAGGTTCCCTGCAAAGGCATTGATACAAAAGTCTTTTAAGATGCAAGTCAAGAGCCCAGACATGAGATGTGAACAAGACTTATGGGGTCATCCAGCCCATCAACCTGTCTCTAATGCAACTGCTGGCAATTTTGTTCACTCTCAGGTGCTCAGGGAAACAAAGATAGAGCAAACATAGCTATAACTAAGCAACTGATTAATTTATTTTTTTTTAGCTGTTCTATGTCCTAATAAAATGAGTTTGTTTTGGTCGGTCTCATGGTGGCTGTCTGCTTTCATAACTTTTTATTTATACATTCCTGAGAGAGAAAGAGGTGAGATATTGCACAAAGGTCATCTGTCTCTTCTGACTTCTGTTTGACAGCCTGGTACCAAATTTATTATCTTTATATAGTGGGTCTTTGAACCTGAGTGCAAATCAACTTAGATGACATTATCTGGGTCTACTGTGTTGTTATAAATCCAGATGTATCCGTTTAAAGATATATCCATAGCATAGCAGAGATTATGGTAAATGAAGTGCACAAGAGATGGTCTGAAGCACTTGAGGGATATTCTGGAGAAGATCCAGCTATTTGATCTTGAGGAAATCCTAGTTTTAAAAATATATTGTAGCACAGAAGCTGTTATGTTTGAGTACAGACAATGCAGAGAAGCAAATGCTAATTTTGTTTCTTTGTTTACTGCATTGTTTTCCTTATATGTTTGGAAAACATGAGTCAAGGAGTTTGTGTAAAATCTCTAGCACATCAGTCTTTTCCCTGCAATTTGTGCTTTCAGCTGCCTGCTGAGTTGGAAACATTATTCTTACCTCTTGTTTAAAAATGAAAACATTGTGACTATGGTTCAGACTCCCTGCTGTGGCAATGATTTTAAGCATTTAGCTATTCTCAGATCTTGAGGCTTGGCTGAAAACAGATTGCTCAAGCTGGTTCATCCCTTTGGGCTCAGATGCATCCTTTCCTATAGTCGTCCGACCATGTGATACGCATGCCAGGAAGCAGCTTGCACTTTCCTACAGATCTCTTCTTGGAGGTGGTGCAAGGATCATTGGAATTTATGTTCTACTGCATTCCTTGGCATTTGGAAAATAACTACCTTTGTAAAATGTCACACAATTTGTACTGAAATGTCACACAATTTGTACTAAAATAAAAGAGAAATTAAAGTATAGGAAAGTATAGTATTTATGCTACAGATTTATTGCAGGAGGTTCACTGTAAGCACTGAGATACCAAAAAGCAAATGATTCAGTGATGGTTTCATGCCCAGTGTCACTGCATCTGCTTTCCTTCCTGTCAGCCTGCCCACGCACATATATTTTGCTCCTCACGTGCCCTGCAGCCTCAGTCCACCTGCAAAATCCTCATCTCTTTTGGTCACTTTTCGATGCGCAGTGGCTGTTTGCTGGGCAGGAGACAGTGTTTTGGTAACTGCAGCAGATTGACTGGTGGCACCTAAACAGCAAACAGCTGCTAGCTTGTAATGCAGCCTTTTGACAGTTGGGCAGGTGACCTGGGGTGTGCCTCTCCTCTTTCAAGCCACTGAAACTTCAGAAATGCCATGTCTTTTCAGTTTCCACCTCTGTGTCAAACATGACCAATTTAGATGCTGAGCTGAAAAAGTTACTCTGAGGGTTATTTGAGGGAAAACTGGCAGAGTAGTCACACTCTTTTTTTTTTTTTTTTTTTTCAGAAACTCAGTTTAACAAAAGAAAACATGGAATCACACACAGAAAAACCTTTTAAATCTTCCTAGAAACTTGTACATGACTGGGAAATAACAATTAAGAGATGAGCATTTCAGGCTGCAGTTTCCCTTCCCATTCAGACTTCATTCACTTCAGGTCAGCACATGAGCAGGTTGTGCAGGAGCTGAGGATAACTAGGGGCAGGAAAACAAAGATGTGAGGGCGAATAGTGCTGGCAAAACAGAATGCAGGTCAGGAATATTTCAGATGGGAAGAGGGAACGGATGGGAAGGAGGCAGATGAAAAGACAATTTCTGAAATGGCTTCCCCAAAGGCCTTGCAGCACTTCCTGCTGCTCTGCAGAGAGCATGGCTGCAGTACAGACAGGCCCATGGGAGCCCAGGCTGTGGGCCTGTACCTGCCGCCTGGGTCCTACGTCAGCCTCAGCCTGGCAGCTCAGAAAACGTTTTATTAGAATCTAAAAAAAAAAATAAAATAAACAAAAAAAACCCAAAACAAAACAAAAAAGTTTGCCTGCTTGGAGGGGCTTTTGGAAGCTTTCAAAGCAGCAGCAAGGAGTTGAGATCTTACATTGCCCACTTCAGGCTGCAGAGGTCAAAGTTTGATCTAATACCAGCAATTTGTTTTCATTTTTATTAGAAAAGGTCTCTTCAGGAGCAGAGCGATATTGATGACTTTTACAGCACGCAGCTAAAGTAAAATGTCAGTGCAGCATCTGTGGTGGCTAAGGGAGCCTGTACTCTCTCGTGGCTCTGGAAGGAGAGCAATATTAAGTTAAAATGGCTCCAGGGCAGAAAAGAAGATGAGCTCACCTAAAATTAGATTACACCTAAAATTAGATTACAGCTCTGGTGGCAATAAATCATTTGGAGGGAAGGATGAGAACTTTTTTTGTCTGTTTATTTACCTTTTTAGGGTTTTTTTCCTTATGTGCTGGTTTGTATGAGAACATCAATGACTTATTTCTGGCAGAAGCCTGGAACAGAACAAGTTATCCATGAAGATGTTATCAAAACCTCTACCATTTGAATTATGTTAGTTTCTGTTCAAGCCAGAATGTGGTGTCTGACGGCATGGTAGCATGGTCTATAAACAGAAGTACTTTTATTTCACTCGGATATATGCAGCATTCTTACATCCAGTCCTGCACAATGCAGAGTTTTTGAAGTGTTCCCAGTGAGTGGGGCCAGGGTCAAGCCCGTGTCTGTCACATTGTGGCATGCGTAGGACATCGCAGCTGGATTCTTAGGACGCATTCAGACAGCTGTTCTCAAAAACAGGATGCTCATTTTTGAAACTATTAGGGTATATTGCTGTTAGTCACCTTTGCGCTCTTTAACAAATGATACGTTACCATACAGAAGAAAATACTATTTCTGTATTCCCATATAGCAATACTCTATAAATTGCATGTTTAGCATCATAAATATTACACTCTTCAGTAATTATCTCTGTATTGATAGTTACGAAAGCTTTCAATCCTAGTTGTTGTGTTTGACTAGGAAAATAGAGATACATTGATGACAAATCACTAGTGATTTGTATTTTATTATGATAGAAGAAATCAGCAATCTGTTATTTTATATCTCTGTGTATTTTCTTTCATTATAGCAAGTGCTGTTCACTTTGAGGATTTTTCATCTTTTAAGTGCTTCATAATCATGAGCTGGATAAGTGAATGAGTATTACTTTGGGATATGCAACTGTTCTTATTGGTGTTCACAAATGAACAAGCTGCAACAAATTGCATGAATTTTTCTTAGTTTTCTTCATTGTCAAATGTCTGCCGTGTGTTTTAAATAATTTCATAGCACAACAGAAATTTTGGGGATAAAATAATATTTAGATTCTGGTTTGGGCCATAATTCAACAAGACAGTGAGCTTGGTTGTTCATACATTTATAAGGTAAAAATCTGTGGTATGTGTTTTGCGTCAGTAATGAAGATCATCTTTTGAGGAGCTTAAAGCTAAAACCTATAGTACTTAGCTGAAAAATCTTCCAGTCAGAAGATTATACTGTAATATTTCCAGAGAAATTAAGATAGTATTTGGCATAATTGGATGGTGTTTAATTCCTGCAATTAATTTAATGATTTTAAGATTTCTGAGACAGTTGAGAATCAACAAATGTTGCCATTATAGTTTGTTTCAGTGTCCAGATAGCACAAGAAGGCACAGATTGCATAGGAAATCTCCACTTTTTCCTAAAAGCAGAGTAGTTGGTAGTGTGCAGTAGCACCTTTGGCAAAAGGAGGTTGTTATGTGAGGAATATATATATCTGAACACTGCCTGGATGTAGAGTCCTTTCTTAATAGGTATACATGGATATTCTGTAAACAGCAAATGTTTGTCTTGAGGAAAGGTAATATTTGTGATGGAGTACTGTTTTATTAGCCTTTACAGCTTCCAGTAAGGAAAAAGATGTATT